CCAACAGTCACTTGTTAATGAGACAGAGACATACAGAGCTGCCAATCAAGCACCTTAAATTCATTCAAGGCATCTCAGCCAGGCTACACGAAGAAGTTGCACGGGAATAAGGAGAGGGAGAAGATTTGTACAACTGCTGGAGCTATCAGTAACAGAACTGGTGTGGTCACACGCATGCTGTATCAACCTACCACCATCGACAGGAGCGAAACATCACTGCTCCAAAACTTTGGGCAGCAGTGAAAGTTTCAGAAAGGAGTGTAATGACCAAGTAACGTTACCCCCGGAGCACATGATCTGAACTTCCTGCGCTTTGTATCTTCAAGACCTGCTGAAGCAGAAGGTGTTCTGGTACAAAAGTAGAGTCAATTTCCTCTTCCTATATGAAAATGCCTATACTGGAATAATAACGGTATAAGTGAGTTTCAACTGTGAATTGACCAATTTCTCATGCTAAGCCTGATGCTGTGCTAACACAGGTTTATAGAAATTATAGTCCATTACTGCTATACGAACAGGAGTGCAACTGCTGAGACATAAGTCTCTGTGCTAGGGTAGGATTATGATGCCTACCCCAGAGGCATGCCGAGCAGCCTGCAGTTCCTTCATGTGCAGCCAGGACAGAGGGAATTCAAGGGGTTTTTTTTTCAAGAGGCTCCCTATGTTTTTTTAAGATCCTACCTATAGCAATTCATTGTTTTTAGCATTCACGGTGATGCATTTTCCTCTGTTGCATAGTCATTCTCGTCAGCTTGCTTTCTGCAAAGTCCATGTAGGGATAGCTAGATTCAAGTAACGAGGCCAGGCAAAAGCTGAATGGCACTTTGTCAGTCAGTGTTCATTGCTCTCTCTAGTCAGTATGAATTCACCTGGTGTCCCAACATGTGAACACATTAATGAATATACATGTAGACATATCAAGCATGCTTCTGTGCGCTGTCTCTGTAGCTCCATGCTGCACTATTGCTGAGAGTCCGTATCAGGGTTGATAAATTATTCTGAAAAGGATGTGGCTTCGCTAAAACAGACTTACACAGAAGACAAATTCGTTCTTCTCTACAGGATAAATTACAGCTGTCCACTTCTAGGTTTTTTACTACAGTAATACTTCCAGTATCTACAAAAATGCATTCAAGTGCTCAAAAATCTTTCTCACAAAATACTCCCTGGCATCTGACCAGGGCATCTGACCAGGGAGTCATAGTTTTCGTCATGATTGTGAAGCATTTCCATTATTTGTTCCATACTAAACACAGACCTAGAGTCTGTTAGGACTGCAGCATCCCTCTAAATGTCTGACTCATTCACAGAAACAAGAGTCTCACGTAACCCAAACTGAAGCAGTTCACACTAGAGATTTGGTTGCTGTTGATTGGTCTGAATTTTTTAGCATGTTCTCAGTCTACTTGTTATCCAACATAAAGAAAAAAAATACTACATAGAGCAAGCAGTCCTAATTTGCTTTTCAGTCCTGTTAACATAAGCTTTCTAAATATCTGTCACCACCGGTCGCAAGGCATCCTTTCACAGAAGTGTGATCTGTCATCATAAAAAAAAAAAAAAAAAAAGCTGAAAGCTGATTTCACACCTCTGCTTGTTAAGTATTTTCTAAAGCAAATAAAGCTCTCTACTTAAAAAATAATTAAAACTAACTCTTCATTAACAGTTCAAATGGCCTAGGTAAATTTGGTCACAGCTCTAATTTGCACCCTGTCACTGAATAGTTTTATCAAGCTTCTTCATTTCGTGCTTGCAAAGGATCACCTTCTGATTATTTTTCTTCCTCGTGTGTTTACCCTTGGCAAGCAGTTGTAAGAAAGCCCTTCAATGATGGTAACATCCTTTAAAATCTTGAGACCCAATCAGAAGCCCCCCGTTGACTGGCTGACACTTTGCCACTGATGCTTAAGAGGTCACAGAACTGGATTTTGCTGCTGCAGGGATTACACGCAGCGATGGGTTCATACAACTTCAGGCTTTGTCCTGTCCCCAAACAATGCCTAACCAAAATCTCATGCATTATCTGCAAAAAGTTAACAAAATATTGTTCCCATTTCTTCCAAGCCTACCTAACTGAGTAAAGAACAAAACATGGCTCTTTAACTTAGCAATTTTTGTCATCTTGGTCATGGTGATGAACATATGCAACTCCTCCTCCTTTTACTTGCATGAAAGCATTCCGCCTAAGAGCACATCACATAAATGTGAGGTTTTGAAATGAGTTCGATGTTTTTAATTAATAGATTACCCCATAACTACTGTTTTTCAGCCAGTATTCACTGGTCCTCTATTTGAGCCTGTTTCACAAATCACTAGTCCTTTATCAACATTTAGCAAAACTAGACTTCCAAATTCATTGGAATCTTTTGGTTCTGTTATTGCAGCTCTTTTTAGTAGCACTTGATTCTTTTGAATTCTTTTTGTTAAAAGATGAAACTGAAAAGTTACTGATATTTCTGCTCTGCTGGAATCGGAAAAGACTATGATCTGAAGTGAACTCAAACCTTTGTAAATTATCGGCAATTTTTAGATGGTGTGTACCTCACTTATTTGGACTAGAAAATCCATCTGAAGTGTCCCCACCAAGTTCCTTCATCTGTTTTTAGACATCTGCATTTTTTAATACTAAATAAATAAATTATTCACTATTGTCTGAAATTTCCAAGTAGTCTTGTTTATTCACATCATGAGACAAAAACAAAGACATTATTTTTGAGAGCATATTTGTACAACTGAACACCTTTTGCTCCCACTAAATAGGGGCTCTAGGCTACCTGCTTATCTCACCAACCCAGAAACAATTCAATAATACGCCCGTATTCTGCTTAAGCCTCTTCTTTCAGAACATCAGCTAGTAGTTTCATCAACAGGCTGTAGCAAGCCCCAAAATAAAACCATTCAATGTAAATCCACTGGTTTACTCTGACCCACAGAATTCCTATCAGGATATTCTTTATCAAACCTCTTTAGAAGAAAAAAGAAATTACAACACACTGTTCTGAATATTTTGAGGTACAGGGATGACAAAATCTGCAAAGTTCTATGAAATACTGTGATCACTAAAGCTCTATTTTGTGCCCTAAAAACTTTTTTTTTAATTTTCATCCCTTGAGTATATATGTACTAAGTGTAGTAAATAAACCAGTGGTCAGGCACAGCAGCCCTCTGTGTAGCTGAAAGGATTCAAACAGATTTCATATTTTTATCTTTACACCATCACTGATTATTAGCTTGATAGTATGACGACTTGTAAACAACCTGTATTTTTTTCATGGAGATCTATTCTTTCCTTGCCTGCCCTTTGCTTTGAAATTTTTCTTTCAGGACATCAATACTGGGCAGGGAGGAGCTCAAACAAAAATACTTTTAAGAGAAATTTAAAGGTTCTTTCAGGAAATACATCTTTCAGTGTACCAAGGAAATTAGGGAGAAAATCCTGCTGCCTTCCTGACACCATGATACATTTTTATTGGAAAACAACGGGCTGGATTCAAACGCAGACTAATCAAGTTGAGGGTTCTCCTACAGAACTTTTCAACTGCATTTTGCACAACAGGATGCCAGTGAGCACGCTGAGCAGAGTGCTATATAACAGGTTAGAAAGCACTACAGCCTATTAGGATATACATTCACACTGCTCTGGATAACCTACTACACTGCGCTATTTGTATATAATTTGCATTGCTTCAAAAACGCTCCTCTAGGGAAACATTTTTGTCTTCATTTAAGTGTATACTTTGCCAGATCAGATAGGAGGGCCATTTGGGGGTTGATGCATTAGGCTGAAAAGACTACTCTGATTTTCCAGTAAAAAAATATTTAAGGTTTATACTGAACATATTACGGCAGAAAGCCACTGATAAAATAAGAAACAACTGGTAAATGAAGACAAGGAACAGTATTAAAAAGAGAAACCGTAATGCTTTTAAGACATCAGTAATTACCCTACATCCTATGTGAGTGGTTAACATACATTTATTTCACTGCAGACCTGGATGAGAAATAGATGTTTAAGTGTTGAGAACCAACATACGGTAAATTTTAGCAGTGCTGTTTGAGCAAGTATGACCAGTCATCTAACTAGCAAACTCTTCCAGAGGAGGAGGGAAACAGCACTGAAAGTAGAAGTACTTTCAAGTACACAGCAGAGGACAAAGAGGCCAGGGAAGGCAGGCAGAACTGTCACCAGAGCTGTGCCGCTCATGGGCTGGAGCACCGTGCGCTCCCTGCTGCATGAGGAGCAGAGGTCAGTCCCCATGCTGTGGCAGAAGCAGTGACATGCAAAGGTACTAACCATTTCGCATTCTGAATTCTGCTGCTCATCTCTATCGACGTGGCCAGACACCATTTATGCCTGCCTGTTTCAAGAGGTAGGTATAAAACATGAATTGACAGATCCTCTATTCACACCATGCATTTCAGGGCATTGCAGGGCAGTTATTTTACAGATCTCAGGGTTCATTTGTTAGAATTTCAATGGGGAGACAAACAGCATTTAGTGACAAGGAAAGGTATCTTCAGTGAAATCTTTATAGGAGACATACATGTGACAGACAAGTACATTTTCATATTAACAGCATCTTCTTTATCTCTGTTAAAAGATACCCATTACTAAAACTGGAGTTGAACAGAATATTCCATTGACAGCTTGACAATAAAAAAGTATAACCATGTAGTACCTTCGTGGCAACTTCCCCAAAAAGATCTCCTTTTGTCCAAACATAATTTTGTGTTCACAAATCAAAAAGCACACGCTAAGTTCAGACAGTATTTCTACTGAAGATATATGACAGAAATCACATTCAGAAAGTAGAGTTTCAATTGCATGTAAAAATAAACACATTTACCATTTCCAAAGGACAAGCGGTTCTGGAAATTTTATAGGACAATAGCCGCAATTTAGTCTTCAATAACTGCAGCCCTTTCAAAAGCAAATACACGTTCAAAAGAATATATATTACCAACCTAGAGGCAGCGATTCTAGTGCTGTGAGTACTCACCTCATAATTGGCAATTGCTTCTCTATCCAGGGCTCGGGTCACGGAGACATCCCCGCTGATCTCATTGATTCTAAAAATTCCTTTTGGGTCTTGATCCACTCCCTTACCAGAGAGTCGAAACTTTGCTCCATCTGTCCCTTCACTGCTGATGACCTGCATGGCAGAAAACAAGAATTTACAGGCTATATTTTTAAAACTTTTAAAATCATTCTAAAACCACATAAGCCATTTTGATCTTCTACCTGATGTCGAGGTATATTCCCTGCCAATATTATACAATGATTAAATATGGTTCATGGTAATATATAACTATAAAATATGGTTTCAATCATTCAGAAAGCACTGCAATTCTTGTGTTAAACCCTGGAAAAGCTATTCACGTCCCTAGCCAATTCCCATCTTATCTTTACTGTCTTCTATTTCACTGCTTAACATTTCTATTATTCCATTGCTACTTTATTCTCTCTATTTCTATAATTTGACATTTCATTTAACTCTATTTCTTTTTTTTCAGTTAAATTGATAAAGCAGCTACAAACTTACAAAAAAAAAAAAAAAAAAAGAAAGAAAGAAAGAAAGAAAAAAAGACATATTCCAACGAATGGCATAGAGCACGCTTATTTCACAACAACCCTTGCAATACCAGATAGCCATCCCACATTATTTTCCAATTAGTCCTTTTTATTAGCCATTGTAAAGTCATTACAAAATAGATTACGTTCAGGTTGTTTATTTCACCCCATTCCCTCTACACTCCTCCTTTCCTAGGATTTTAAACCAAGGGAAAAAACTCCTCATGAAAATATCTGGGTATCCTGCCCAGAACTCTGCTTAGTCACACAGTTGGAATTCCTCCACTTTCCAAGTTGATATTTATATACACACACACAGACAAACTCCTTGTTACTATCTCTACCTTATTTCCCCATAAGAAAAAAATCCCTAAAAATCCAATTTCAAGGCTGTCTCACATTAGTGCCAGTACATATGTAAACTCGCAGAGCTACACAACGTTTGTTACAAGCTACATGCTTTGCAAATTTGTATTTGTACACCAGAATCTAGAAGGATTATAAATTAATCTCGCCCTTTAAGGCTGACAATCTTGCCAAGCCATTCCTTCCCTCTGCTGTTTCACGTTCTTTTGTTTCTAGCAATTTTATATCGTTAATATTTCCACGGAAACATTAAGTCAAATATTTATATGCTGGTCTGAATTACAGCTCAGGAAGAGGAAGGGAAAAAGTGGCCTTAGAAATCTGGAACTGTTCCCATTCTGAGATAATAAATATGCAGGGTGTTTAATAGCATCCCTGAGGAAATACATGTTTGTTGCCCTATTGCTGTGGGTTCAGCAACACTGGTTTGCAGATTACAGGGCAGTGAGATTTTGACTAAACTCTATAAACATTCTTCCTTTATTTTAATTGAGAAAAAAATTGCCACAAGTTATGAAATAGGAAATCAGCATTTTCAGAGATAAAGTTTCAATTCTCAAACCCCTTGGGGAAGGAAGAAATTTCAAAGGAAAAACCTGTTTCACCTTTTTTTTTTTTCTTCCTCCTTCCAAGTCACAAACACTAATGGATGAAGTTTTCTTCCTGTGTATTTTTGACTATGTAATGCCAAAACACAGAGGCAGACAACACCCCAGGTGACAAAAGGGCAAAGTAACTTTGTAACTTCAGGTTTTGTGATAAAACTGAAACTTAATGGCTCCTACTGAAAATTCACCTGCTCTTCAATTCATTTTTTGCCCAATCTCTGGTATTTCTTTTATACCAAGCCTAAAAATGTGTTTTTCTTAACATAAAGCTGTGCTTATGATTTTGCAGTGTCATGACCATTGCTCACTTCTGTAGGGAAAAAAAAAATTGATCATCTTCTGCCCTGATTTCTGAGACTCGTTACAAGACAAGTACACCTTCCCATCCAATACAAGAACAGCAGTTTGAAAGGCCAGCACAGAAATCTGATTCAGAGATGCCTGCACAACAGGCATTTCCACCACAGCCATCAAACATTACCTAACGGCTTGTGACAAATTTAAGATGTGGCATTGGTGCAACACCCCGGCTGCAACAAGCCACAGAAAGAAAACAAAACAAATCACGGGCTGTGGAAGGGAATTGATCAGAAACATTCCAGATCATCATAAGGAGATCTTTCTCCACACTAGGTAGAAAGGCAGCTGTGTAACAACAATAACGGTAATAAGGGTCCCTGCAAACCTGACTGGAGGGAAAATTTCCTTTCAACTCCAAATCTGGCAAAGATCCTAACCTTGAGTCTGATGCCAAGACATCCCAGTGTGGTACCTGAAAGATTTGTACTCTTTGGAGCTGTGACACACCCCACACCTCATCCCCACTTTAGCTGTGAACCATTCCTCAGCATGTAAACCAACAAAGTTACCAGAGAGCAGAGATTGTTCCAAATGACTGGACATGTCCATTCAGCTTTTTTAAAGCTTCAGGAAGCAGCCACACCAACAGTGCAAGTATGTGCAGAGCCTTCTCTCCGATCTCTTTATCCACCTATGCATCTAGTTCCTGCACAGCAACTTATGCTTGATAGAGTAAGTAATGCTTGATGACAGAGTAAATAAGAAGCCCAGGTTGGAGATGTGCCATGTACCACTGCATCGTTTCTTCAAGAGCAAGGGCAGTCGCACAAAAAGTAATTTTCTCAGAAGTATGGTTCTTTGAAATGTTTAATTAGCCACAAGAGGGTGCTATACGCTCCCCGGAACGTAAGGAAGACCGTTAACATCTCCTAATTAAGATGCTTATATAATGGCTGCGTAGTTCAAAGAAAGTGCATTTCCCAGTTCACACTAAGCTCAGTACAATGAAAAGTTTAATAAAAATCAGGCTTAATTTGCCATATGGTTTGGTGCTTCAACAAGAGGGAGGAAGAAAGAACAGGAGGATTGTCTGACATCTCCTCTGGCAAGACTGCTGTTCTGAACACTGTCATAAACACAGCACCGTTCCGATGAAAATCTCCTAGCTTACAATGTATTTACACAATGATGCTTTTACTGGCTGAGAAAAAACAAGGCCAGACTATTTCTGCTGGAACGCTTACTTTGGGGTGTCTTTTTTATGTTCCTAAAATATGGAAATGACTTTCCCACAGTTATTACTACCTGAAGCCCAGACAGGAACACTTACTTCCATAATTTGTTGGCAGCTTCAGGAACTTCAGTGCAGGTTCAAATATGGAAAATGTCTGCACCATATTGCAGTGGCCATACGTTGCACATACAGACTCTTCATTCTTAGGAAATGGTCCAGTTAAGGTAGCACAGGCCCAGCTACCGAGGACATGGACAGGGCAGGTATTCTTTATCTGGCCTCCTGATTTCTACCGATTTCATTTTCAAATGGCATAGACAGAACAGATGCCAGCTGAGCGTGTCACAACAATAAAGATCTTGAAGGCTATCTCCTCACCCAGGACCCAGACGAGAGAATTGGACGTAGACTTCGACAGTGCTCACTTCCCCACACTGATAACACTTTCCCACGTCAGAGGCACATCGGAGAATAACCTCTGAAAACAGAGGTGCATCTACGCTAGCCTTTTCAGGACCACATATCTAGAACCCAAGACATACCAATACATTTGTTTGGTTTGTTGTTTTTTTTTTTCTTCCCGAGAAAGGCAGAGACTGTACAATTCTGCTCAACTAAAAGACACTTTCAAGAAAACAGAATGTTGCTTAGCTGACAGGATCTGCTTTTCGCTGAACCATGGCCAAAACATATTTACCAAGTGCTGCTTTTCAGCTGACATTATGTATCCCTTCCAGCTAAACTCATTTCAGCAATGTGATCCCCCTGTTGTTACAGGTTTATCGCAAAAGTAAAACAGAGTGTTCTCAAGAGAAGAAGAGAAATAGAAGTACAAAAAAACCACACTGCCCCCAGAGAGAGACATTGCAGTTCTGCAATCCCAGCAAATCTGTCCCTATCAGCACCATCCTAGTTTGCCAGTTCCATTCTTTAAGAAGCATTTGCCTCAACCACTCCCATAATGTCTTAGTTCCTGACACCTTCTGAATTAGAGATACGTCATATTAGTTTAACTTTTTAATTAGAAAACAAATCTCACCCTTAGACAGGAATACTTGGTTCAAACCAAATATTTCATTTTCACTTCAAAGCATCACACTGTCTCATGTGGTTTTTATTTTTGGGGAGGTTCTTTGTTTTTGGTGTTTCCCTCCTCCCCTAGCCTCCTAGGAAGGAAACTTATCTGTGGAATATTTAGAGGTGAACTATTTTTTTCCTTTAATCACTATGCTCCACAAGAGCAAAACAGAGGTTTAGGCCCATTGTTTAGTTATCATATAAATACTTAAACAGACACTTCCTGTCCTGCCATACTGAAAATCACTCTTTCCTAGGAAGCAAATTTATCCGTGGAATATTCAGAGGTGAACTATTTTTTCCTTTAATCTATGCTCCACAAGAGCAAAACAGAGGTTTAGGCCCATTGTTTAGTTATCATATAAATACTTAAACAGACACTTCCTGTCCTGCCATACTGAAAATCACTCTTTACAGTCGGAGGTTCCATCTGCTCCGTACTGACTCAAATAATCTTTCAACCAAAAGAAATGCAAAATATTGCCATCATTATTATAACCAACAGAACCTGCCTCATTACTATAAGCTAAACATACAAAAACCATGGTTAGAAAGCAATTTATATAATTTACCAAGTTTAATAATTTACTAAATCTGTTGGTTCTCAATACCTTTATCTTCATTAACTAAACACCAGATAAACTAGTTAAGCATGGGAACCAAACTCTGCTCTCAAAACACAAGCTAAATTAATACAGACAAGTATGAACAATATTTGTGGAATTTGAGTAAACAACAGGACAAAACTTCAGCAACTAAAGATCACAGAACGGGTTGGAAGGGACCTTGAAGACCATCTAGTTCCAATTCCCCTGCCATCTCTGCATGAGGCAACATTTTCAAACTGTATAAATCTCCCAGATCATGTGCTTTCATTGCAAAGCTGAGATCAGCCAGCCAATCCATCACTCAAATTCTAATATTTCTGCTTGCACTGGAACAGCACTGCAGAAACCACAAGCACAGGATGAAAAGGGAAAGGTGACCAGCAACAGA